TATATATATATATATATATATATGTAAATATATATGTATATATAATGTATATATATATATATATATATATACATATATATATATATATATATATATATATATATATATATATATATATATATATATATATATGTATATATATATATATATATATATATATATATGTAAATATATATGTATATATAAATGTATATATATATATATATATATATATTTATATATATATTTATATATATATATATATATATATATATATATATATATATATATATATATATATATATATATATATATATATATATATATATATATCTACCCAGCAAACATGTCAGCCTTGAATCAACGTTGAAAACCGGTTGCAAAAGGTGTTGCGGAAACGTTGACAAAGTAATCGATTTTGCAAAGATATGTCACGTTGTTAAAGAGACGTTGATTAAACGTTGTAGCGTAACGTTGAAAAAACGTTACTAAAAGACGTTACAAAAATGTCTCAACTAAACGTTGAAAAAGCGTTACTTAAAAAGCGTTGCATAGGCGCCGCAACTTAAAGTTGAAAAAACGTTACTTGGAGAGCGTTACTTTAACGTTGTTAAAGCAGTCGATTTTGCAAGGATTTGTAACGTTGGTAGTAAAACGTCGATTTAACGTGACTCAAAGACGTCGAGTAAAGGTTGAAATATAACGTTAAATCAACGCTCAAATGCGCTGGAGAAAATATCGCAAAATATTATTAAACGTGATTAAACTTGGTTATAATGTATATTGAATTTGCAAATAAAACAAAATTGTATGTTGAACTCTGCATTTGCAATATTTCCAGAGTCGATTTTTAATACAAATAGTAATATACAATGAAAAACATAAAAAATATACAATTTATTTATATAAAATTTACAATTTATAGATAAAAATATAAAAATCTTTTTTAAGATTTATGTGTGTGAGTGAATTTACAGGATTTACGTGTGTGAGTAAAATTTATGTGTGTGAGTGGATTTACAGGATATCGTATCGATAAGCCAGGATATCATTGAGATACAGAATCTAAATCAAAAAATAAAACTTGTATCATTATCAATCTAAAAGCAAATGTTTAAAAAATGTTATTGAATTAGTATGATTATTATTAAATTTAAAAAATAAAAATAAATAAATAAATATATATATATATATATATATATATATATATATATATATATATATATATATATATATATATATATATATATATATATATATATATATTGTGATAGTCGTAATAGCATAAAATAAGTAATTGTTTTTAAAAATAACACGACGTTTTTTATTCTTGAAATGTTTTGTAGTAAACAACTGGGGTTGATATTTGACTGGGGTCGGAGCCGGGTTTGATAAAATATAGCCAGGGCCAGGGCAGGGTTTGAGACCAGGCTGCATAAACATTTATACATCCTAAAGTATATTTTTTAAATTTAAAATTCATACTATATTTTGTATATATATGCATATATGAACATCATTGTGATCAACATGATCATCATAATCATCATAACCATCATCATCATCATCATCATCATCATCATCATCATCATCATCATCATCATCATCATCATCATCATCATCATCATCATCATCATCATTATCATCAACAGCATAAAAGCGGAAAGCTTGACAATGATAATAAAAATTATGTTGATGTTGTTGATCGCCATCATGATAATCATCATCATCTTTATTATGGCACTATGTAAGGCACACTCTTCAAATTTTCTTACTTCTACCACAACCATTTTATACTGAAGCTGCTACCACTCTACATGTTAATACCTGAATTACTTTAACTTTTTCTGAAAAAAAAGGTTGTTTGATACAACGTTTTTTCTAATCTGTCTAAGATTATGCCTACTTTTTATATCTTGTTAGAGTCACACCACACATCCATCTGATCATTTTCTCTTTTGGCAAATACTACACTATATAAATACTAAAGTTTATACAACAATGAAAGGATATTGTATGCCAGCATCTAAACAAATAACAAACAAATATGCTTATATCCATAATATGTGTGCAAAAAGTGCATCTTGGAAGCTTATATTGCTTCTGGAATAAAAGCTTGGAAGCTTTTATTACTTCTCTTCAGTTTTAAATCAAGCCTCATTTTACTCTACATCTTTCAACATTAACTACATTTTTCAGCTTTTTTATGAGAACATCTCTCTAAAGAAAAAATTGTCCTTTTTATTATTGCAATAATAAAATGTATAAATAAAGTCTTGTCTGATGTAAATCTCTGTTATTCTCAGTTTACTAAACCTTGTATCTTATCTTAGATGTCGATTCTAGAGATTTTTGGTTAGTTTTCAACAGTGTTATTAACTAAAGTGTCTTATGGATCTAAATTCTGGACTTAAAATCCACAATTTTTGTTAGACAACAAAATTCATTTATTTACTACTAAAAAATAATGCAATATTGTTGGTATTCCTATATTGACAAATAAAACCTTATAATTATTATA